TTATTTTATCTGAAAAAAATGTTCTAGTTGTTTGGAACCTGGAATAAATAGTTAGCAAAATTCAAAAATATAATAATTTTTATCAGCTGGAAATGCAGGAAAGCTGAGAGGACACACACACGGCTTTATTGGGCATTAGTTTAAGTGCACTAATGAATGTGTGTAAGTTGTATGTTTCAATTCTTTTGCTTATGTGTCAATAGTGACCCAAACTAAATTGTGATTTGGGGAAGTTAATGGATAGTAAAATATTGTTACCAATGAAATAGTAACAATATGTTTGGTTAAATTTGATGTATTGAATCAAATGACGTGAGAATAAGTTTTTCAGTTGACCAACACGTGAATAAATGTGAATGAAAGTCGAGTCACAGCAAATATTAATTTTTTTTTTCTGATCACTCATATTTGTCATTGTAAAATGCCTAAAAACACACTCATTCACCATTCACAATTAATACACTTTTTTTCTTCAAATAAATACATTTTAAATCAATGTAATATATTATGAGGTCGAACTAGAGTCTTTATTTGATGAAACACATGGCTAACCTCTATGCTTCACCTTGGGTGAACTTTTTAATATAATGACTCTTCTGTTAGTCTTGACCTTGGTCTTTATGAGAGAGGGTCTGTCTGTTAATCTCTATACATTCAATGCATTGTTCGTGTATTGCTGAGCCATGAGAGGATAAGAAGTCTGTTAAAATTCTGATAATAATTTTATGATTTTTGGGTGGAGATAAAATCCAGCTGTCATTTAGAAATAAGGATTCTATTGCAAAGTGAGGGTGAGTTTGAGGAAATATAGTAGTTATTTGTAATTATTTGTATTTGTGATGATAGCAGAAATCTGGAACATTGTTCTAAAATTGGTGCAATTACTACAAAAAATAAATTACATCTTCCTGTCAAGCCCTTTAATTTTCATGTTGATTGCTCTACTTTAGGATTTTTTTCCACAGTGTTCTGCAATCCACACTTTTATAAATGTTTTCTGAATTGTGAGAGTGGTTAACAAGTACAATTCTGGAAAAATTCTGTAAAATATATACATCTTAAAGCAAGGGAGGGGTCGCCTCTACAGATCCACAGGCCCTTTAAACCAGAGCTAGGTCATATACCAGTAGCTCTGGAAAGTGTGAATGTTCCTTTTTTATTACCTTATGATATGTTTTAAAAAAAACACTATTCATATACGGTGGAACCTCACAACTCGAACGGTCCCTTTCTCGAACAATTCTGTAGTCTAATAAAAATTTTGAGTAAAAAATGTCTCGGTACGCGAACGATCCTCTGTACTTGAACAAATCATGCCACAAACATGTTCAATTAGATACACTTTAGACATATTTTAAATGCCAGAAGAACAGCTACCTATCCCCATCCAAACAATAATATCTCTTCTCCTTTCCACTTACTCCATCAACTTTCATCTTTACAGGTAAAGTGAAGTTACATATTTATTTAATTTACTGTACATTGTGTTTATTTTTATTCCTATATGATTTTATGCATGTAAGGCATTATTAAATCGTCAAATGTGTGTTCAAATGCTGTAATTTTGGGGGTCTGGAACAAATCAATCAAATTTACATTAAATCTTATGGGAAATGTTGATTCGGGTTTTGAACAAATCGGAACTCGAACAGCCTTCTGGAACTCATAAGTTTGAGTTCCGAGGTTCTACTATATTTAATATATTTTAAATGCACATGCACAGAATTTAATGAATACTTTTAAAGAGGATTTTCAACGTTATATCACTATAATAATTTTTTGTCACGTTATTGGCTCAATTACAATTTCTTTTTTAGAAATTTGAATGAGTCTTAATAAAATATCATTTTAGTATAATAATCATTTATTATTTATGATTATAATTCTAAGTATGAGTATAATTCTATACCTCTATGCAAAGTTCTGTAAAAATATTATGGAGATATGTATTTTATAGATAACTTTCCTTCCATTTTATCAGTGATAGATGTTTTACGACAATTATAGGTAACAGAGTCTACCAACAAGCTATAAGATTTAGGTTTTCTGAATCTATACACAGGAACCCCAATCGATGTCTTTGTCAGTTTATGAAATACTCACATATTAGTGGCTGTTAAAGACTTGTAATGGATGTTACCACTATATAGTAAGCACATGAACATTTTGAAATACTCACATATTAGTGACCTTGAAGGACTTCTGATCAGTGTTACCACCATATGGTAAGCACATGAACATTAAACATTTTCTTTACTTGTTTTTTTTTTATTTTTATACAATAATTTCTTTAAAGTTTTTCATGATTTTTGTTAAAAGATAAATTAACATGTGTACATACATTTTGCCAAAGAGTTTTAAAATGTCTTCCTTCAAAAATCTGGACCAGGTTCCATCCATAGATTGTCTGTCTTGTCCGTCCGAGGTAGCCCTGCCCTGAGATAAAACCCTTTTGATCTGCCAAACCAATACTGCTTGTAAATGTCTTCTCCAAACCAGTTTCACTCCTTTTAATTATTCCTTATATATATATATATATATATATATATATATATCGTATGTCACAAAAGTGAGTACACCCCTCACATTTTTGTAAATATTTTATTATATCTGTTCATGTGACAACACTGAAGAAATGACACTCTGCTACAATGTAAAGTAGTAAGTGTACAGCCTGTATAACAGTGTAAATTTGCTGTCCTCTCAAAATAACTCAACACACAGCTATTAATGTCTAAACCATTGGCAACAAAAGTGAGTACACCCTAAGTGGAAAAGTCCAAATTGGGCCCAAAATGGCAATATTTTGTGTGGCCACCATTATATTCCAGCACTACCTTAACCCGTATGGGCATGGAGTTCACCAGAGCTTCACAGGTTGCCACTTGAGTCCTCTTCCACTCCTCTATGATGACATCACAGAGCTGGTGGATGGTAGAGACCTTGCGCTCCCCCACCTTTCTGTTTGAGGATGCCCCACAGATGTTCCATAGGGTTTAGGTCTGGAGACATGCTTGGCCAGTCCATCGCCTTTACCTTCAGCTTCTTTAGCAAGGCAGTGGTTGTCTTGGAGTCCTCTATGTAGGACTGAAACGTTGATCGTCCTTTACATTTTTGTATCAATACATTTTGGACTTTTATTCCGTGAGTGCTGCTGCATACTTTGGACAAATGGATAATACTAGCCATGGCATGCTAGCACCCGACTTCTAAAAGGACTTTTAAGTGTGAGTGCAGGAAGATTCTGTGTTATATATATATATATATATATATATATATATATATATATAGGTATTACAAGATACAGATTTTATCTGTTTTTTACATCTACATCACTGGACTAATACGGCTACAATCTCTACTTGAACATATATATATATATATATATATATATATATGTGACTAAATATATACATATAAATATTTTGCAGTACAGTGGTAGGATAATTTTTCCCTGCCTTTTGATTTCCTCTGTGCACACGTCTAGTAAATAATATATTATGTTGACTATAGCAAAACAAGTAAATTCTATAAGAACATACAGATATATGTAGCATACTTAAATATAGACCTCAATTTAATTATTTAACTTCAAAGACAACACATTTAGAGAAAGTGTGCTTGAAGAATTTACCACATGTAAAAGACGTAAATGGAAATGCAAGAAATGCATGTGTTAACAGCACATGTGTGTTTTACAGCTTATTTAATAGAATTTACACACAGAGGTAGATTTAATTCACTTGCAACTGTTTTAAATACAGCAGCTAGCTGTGGGTCTGGGAAAGGTGTCACCTGAGAATTGTAGTGGGGTTCAGTTATTTAATATGAGAACCACACACAGAATGTGTGCAGTTAGTAAAGACAAATAAAGTAGTTATAGGCTAGCTCTCCTGGCTTTCCAATAAATCGATGTCTCTTTTGATATTTACTTAGCATGCAGCATACATTGTACAATGTCTGTAAAAAAAAAGGCTTCTACTCATTCATAGCCTAACACAGTTTATTCTCCAATCAATACATGCAAAAGGGTGCTATATATAGAAACATAGAATGTGATGGCAGATAAGAACCATTCGGCCCATCTAGTCTGCCCAATTGACCACACTGACTGATGATCACTGGATCCTAAACTTTCACCTCCAGTAATATCTGATACCAAATCTCCATTTGTTAACACAAAATCTAGTATGGCCTCTTTACGAGTTGGCTCCTCAACAACTTGTTTTAGAGACAATCCCAGTAGGGAAAAAAAAAAGGAAAGAATAAGGGTGCGCCTAAAACAAGTGGAAATAGTAAAATAATAATATGAGAATAGCAGCAATAACAAAAAGTTCGAAAAAGTGTCCAAATATAATATAAAAATGGGATAACCACGGTACCTAGTAGTCCAAATATAAAATGTCCAAATGCGCAAATGGTAGTCCTAGTAGTCCATCAGAAGGGTATGTAGCGTCCCGAATGAGTATAAATATGCGGGGAGAACAGAAGAGAGAGAAAAACTCCAATGGTGTAGTATAAAAACAGAATATGAATATTGTGTAAATATTTGTGGAACTACTCACAATCTTCAGAGCTTAAATCCAGCTCTGGTATGGATAGCGTGAAGTGGAATAATCCCCACTCAAGGATATGTGGTGCTCCTCTTTGGTCCTTTGGTAAAAGGATGGAGTCCAACTCGGGATAAAAATAATAAAAAGATATAGTGCTCACTGTATAGTTGATAAAACAATAAAATGAAATAAAATATACTCACGGTATATAGAGCAGACGTACTGCTCGGTGGATGGCGTATGGGTGGTATAATCCCCACCTTAAGGATTCTTTGGTAGTCCAATATGGTCGAAATCAATGGTAGTTAGGTCTGGATAAAATGAACTTGCATAGAATAAAATAGTAAATAATATAATATAAAAGTGAAAAGAGGAATGTGGCAAACCAGTGTATAATAGCCAGATATTCCTTTAATGACACTTTGATTTAAAAAAAGAAAGTTTCTATACGCGTTTCGCCACAATAGGCTTCATCAAGTAGAAACAATATAAAAAGCATTTGTTATATTGTTTCTACTTGATGAAGCCTATTGTGGCGAAACGCGTATAGAAACTTTCTTTTTTTAAATCAAAATCGAACTTTTTGTTATTGCTGCTATTCTCATATTATTATTTTACTATTTCCACTTGTTTTAGGCGCACCCTTATTCTTTCCTTTTTTTTTTTTCCATTGTACTTCAAGGGGTTCAGAGGGGATTCCATTTTTAAGGTGTGCTGCCTTGTTATTATACTCCCTGTTTCTTATCAGCGCTGAACCTTCTTCCTGATCTTAATCCCAGTAGGGAGTTTAGAATATGTGTGCTAGTACGCATGTAGTATCAATTACATTTTAATCACCTTATTTTGCATACATGCAGTGTTGCCATCAAGCATTGTGGTGAGCCATTATGAAGGACCCCTGACACATGCATACACCCTGTCAGACACAGAAACATAGTTATCCATACACATATCCATATGTTTGCATAGAGGTACTCATTTTCAGTACAAATACCCACTATATCCAAATACACACTGTAACGGTCTGTGGGTACGCTGGCTCTTCTTGGCTTCCTAGGCTATTTTCAAACCATGCAATATCACCTTGCTGTGCCAGAGTATTCAGTGCTATTAGGAGTGCTCAGATGTTCATCTGAGCAGTGTTCAGAGGTGAAACATAGCAAGGGATTATAGACTTTACCCCACACCATGAGTCAAGGCTACAAGGTAGATGTTAAACAGAACTGACTTTTTTGTAGCCATGCAGAGGTAGTTATACCCACAGATGAACGTTTGCATACATTAGGGTCATTAACAGTAAATACAATTCCCTATCAAGTATTCTATCCATAATTCCATGTTTTTCTTGCTGAAAACAATAATCAGCCCCATTAAAAAAAAAAAATGCCCAGCTCCATTTTGTCAATATAATTCAAACAACCTGAAACAATGAAGGCCAATTGTACAATTAGTACCCAAACAAGAGGAACTCCTAAACGACAACCCTAGGTCCATGACATGCACTTCTGACAACACCCAGATATACAGCGAGGCACACACCGATATGTTCACTGTCACACACTTGTATACACACTACCACATATACAATATCTAAACTACTAAGATTCACACTGAAACATGCAGATACACATTGACATACACACATACACACTGGCAATCACATACATTGACAAACACACAAAATACATTGTAAATGTATATTTAAATGGGGATTCCACTGCTTCAGTGAGTTAAACTAAGAAGAAACAGGACCGTGTGTTAGTTTGAAAGCCAAAGGGGTGTAGCCAGGTTAACGTATGAAATGGTAAATTTCTATTTAAAACTGTACTTTCTTCAAAATAAAAAAACATGACACAGTCTTCATACAGAAAGCTTTTCAGCAAGCTAAAGTGCTTGAGGGATCTGGAGTGTCCACTTAAGCCATCCCTCTGTTTCCCCGTTTGGATGGATTCCGTGGATCCCATGAGGAGTAGACTGGAACTAATACAGCGCCTCCAGCTCCTGCTCTAGAATCTGCAGTTACATACATATCCAAGCAGAGTAGGAGGAAATGCAGGAAGAAACAACAAAGTGTGCAGGGCAATTGAAGGACAATTGCACCCGCACTTATTGAAAAGTAGGGCCTTATGGACAGGGCCGCCACCAGAAATGTTGGGGCCCCTGACAAAGCACAAGGTGTCCCTAGCCCCCCACAAAACCCCCCACGTGTCCCTAGCCCCCCCCCCCCCCCCCGCCTGGCCACCCACACCCCACCCCCCTCCGCAGTGAATGCAGTGTGTGTCAGTGCAATGAATGCAGACTGTGTTAGTGTTATGAATGCAGAGTGTGTGTTAGTGCAATGAATGCAGTGTGTGTGTTAGTGTAGTGAATGCAGAGTGTGTGTCAGTGTAATGAATGCAGAGTGTGTGTCAGTGTAGTGAATGCAGAGTGTGTGAATGCAGTGCAATGAATGCAGAGTGTGTGTTAATGTAGTGGATGCAGTGTGTGTTAGTGTTGTGGATGCAGTGTGTGTGTCAGTGTAGTAAATGCAGAGTGTGTGTCAGTGTAGTGGATGCAGTGTGTGTGTTAGTGTTGTTGATGCAGTGTGTGTGTTAGTGTAATGAATGCAGTGTGTGTGTCAGTGTAGTGAATGCAGAGTGTGTGTCAGTGTAGTGGATGCAGTGTGTGTATTAGTGTATTGAATGCAGTGTGTGTGTTAATGTAGTGGATGCAGTGTGTGTGTTAGTGCTGTGGATGCAGTGTGTGTGTTAGTGTAATGAACGCAGTGTGTGTGTTAGTGCTGTGGATGCAGTGTGTGTGTTTAGTAGTTTATGCATGTAAATGTAATAACTGCTATTCCCCCCCTTCCTGTTTCTTACCTGGTTCAGGAAGGGGGGAAGATGCCATGATTCCTGGTGGTCCGGTGGCATTGTGGGGCCCCCCGGCTCCCTATACTTGCAGAGGGGGCCCAGCGGACTGCAGCTGTATGTTACAGCATTTCCCTCGCTCTCACTCCCGCGAGATGTGGTGTGCGCGCCGCGCGGAGCGTTCCCATGGTAACCCATGGCAGCGCTCTAACAGCCGCATGTCTCGCGGGAGTTAGAGCGAGGGAAATGCTGTAAAGTACAGCTGCTGTCCGCTAGGCCCCCTCTGCAAGTATAGGGAGCCGGGGGGGGGGGGCCCGCGGCTGCACCTATACATAGCGATCATCACTATATATAGGTGCAGAGAGTAATTGTGGGGCCCTGGACTGCCAAAGCAGTACGGGCCCCCCAGGACCACCAGGCCCGTGACAATCATTACGGTTTTCACCCCCTGATGGTGGCCCTGCTTATGGACTCTCACCATCTGGATGGAAATTCATTTAACAGGTAACACACTAATTTTGTTTTCCTTCCTTCGCAGATGAGAGTCAAGGAATCGTGACAAATAGGATCTGTCTAATGATGGTGACTAAATGCCAGAGTGCCCTCCTGACAAAAGCAGTTTCTCAGATGCAAAGACATTGACATTTTAAAATGTTTGCCAAATATCAGATTTTGACCAAAGAAGTCTCATGATGAAAGGTCCACAATGTAGCCACCACTGAGTGGAATGAGCAGTGACCTATTCCAAGACGTTCTTTTTATCAAGGGCATCATACTCAAAAAGCATCAAATTATTTCCCACAACACTACCAAACAGGTGCTATACGTTTAATTTTTTTTTATATTAATGCATTATACTTTTGTATTTTTGCAAACATATAAAAAAACAAATAATGCTTTATTAGCTCCTATAAATTTAATGAAAACATTTTACTCCAGCGAATTATAAAGGATTATTCATTAAACGCCTGATTGTATCCAGAAGAACAATATCCAGTAAAAACGACAGAATTCTTATCTGAATGACAATTCAAAATGGCAGAATTTGGTCTGCCCTACTGAATTGGCACCAATCAATCGCATTTACATTTAGTATCTATTTGGAGATCAATGTTTTTTGCAAAATGTGGGACATAAAAATAAATAGAGACCTTATGCCTCCACATGCCATGAAATGTGTGGAGCATATCTACTAAACAGTGTCCACCCACAGTCTCTACAGGTGAGAGCCATTAAATAAAAACATATGGGTATTCTGGTGCCTCCTGGCTCCAACTGTGGTCAGCATTTGGTGGTTACTTTTTAAAATAAAAAGAACAGCCAAAATCCCCACTCCAGCCCCTATCCATGAGCAGTGGGTAGGGGCTAATAATGTAAAAACCCAAAAGGGACCTTATGTCCCAACTGAGCGCCCCCCCCCCCCATAGTTTGCAAATGGGGACAATAATTTTGTTATAACTGAAAAGACACCTTGTGTCCCCCTTCAGTGCTTACCCATTTGTAGCAGGTGGGGTCTAATCATTGTATTATAATCAAGGGAGAAATAATGTCCCTCCCAGACCCCAGTCATGGGCAGTGAATGGGAGCTAATATTAAAATATACAATGGGCCTCTCCGGTTGGAGAAGACCCCATTCATCCCCACAACTTCCTAGTCTTCACTAAACCTAATGTTTCCTACTTATCAGCAAATTTTCAGAATTTCCAACATGGGACTGAAATTTATCTCTATTAATGCCATGGGGCTAAATTCCCCCAACAAACGTAGACAGGCTTTGACGGAGGCCACCAAACTAAAAGCATAAGTAGCCTTCTACCAGTAGACCCACTTTAAATGGGGCCTCTGACCGAAGTTCTGCTCTATCCACTTCCCTCACGATTTTAATTCATGCTATAGGCAAGGCAATATCCTTTCGACTGGTTAAAAAAAATTGGGGACAGGAAGGGTCGATACCTACTATTACAGTGTTACCTCAACAATGAACCTTACACCCTAATTAACGTATATGGACCTCACACTAACCAGGGAGAATTCCTAGACATGGTCTAGCAACCCTACACGAGTTCGGTAATGTGGTTATTGGAGGGGACACATACTTCCTTATGGATAGCTCTCTCGACACCTCATCTGGCACCTGTGTAGCCCCATCAACTGCACACAAACTATCAAAAGACACAACTGCTAGATGCAAACAGATACTACATCACAACTACCTTGACCCGTGGAGGATAATGCACCCACAGACAGGGACTACACCTTTCACTACATAGCGCACAACTCATACACCAGAATAGATAGATTCCTTATACCACTCTCAGCAATGCACACCATTCAAAAAACTGACATAGGACTCATCACATGGACGGACCACGCACCGGTAACATTGACTTTACACGAACGCTTTCCCTCTTTCGGGACAGGCACTTGGCGACTTAATGACTCATTACTGAACGACCCAGAATTGGCTCGCATTGTGGACGGAAAATTGTCTGCCTCATTCGCGACCAACACCACGGACGACAGCTCGATTGAGACTATATGGCAGGCACACAAAGAGGTCATACGCAGCCTCCTTATTAAACAAGCGAGCTATGCCAAGAAACAAAGGGTCAAACACTCTACTACACTGATCGAAGACCTCGCAGAACTGACACACAAGAATAACACTACCCTAACGCACTAAAACTGCGGATCATGGCCAT